CCTTGGATACTTAAGGAACTAGCTGAAGCAATCTCGGAGCTGTTTTCAATTATCTTTGAGAATTTCTGTAGGACAGAAGAGGTCCCTGAAGACTGGTGAAGGGCAAACATAGTACCTATCTATAAAAAGAGGAACAAGGAGTAACCAGGGAATTATAGTCATCCTAACTTTGACACCTGGAAAGATACTAGAGCAAATTATTAAACAATCACTTTGTAAACACCTGGAGGATAATAGGGTTATAAGGAACAGTCAGCATGGATTTGTCAAGAACAAACCATGCCAAACCAACCTAATGTCCTTCTTTGATAGTATGACTGACCTAGTGGATAGGGGGAAGCAGTAGACGTGATATACCTTGATTTTTTAAGGCTTTTGACACATTCCCACATGACATTCTCATAAGCAAACTAGGGAAATGTGGTCCAGTTGAATTTACTATAAGGTGGGTCCACAACTGGTTGAAAGATCGTGCTCCCAGAGTAGGTATCAATGGTTTGCTATCAAATTAGAAGGGGATATCTAGTGGGGTCCTGCAGGGGTCATTCCTGGATCTGATACTATTCAATATTTTCATTAATAACTTGGATAATGGAATGGAGAGTATGCTTATAAAATCTGCAGATGACACCAAACTGGGAGGGTTTGCAAACACTTTGGAGGACAGGTTTAAAATTCAAAATTGGTCTGAATCCAACAAGATGAAATTCAATGAAGACAAGTGCACAAGGTTTAAATTAATGCACACCTACACAATGGGGAATAACTGGCTCGGAGGCAGTACTGTTGAAAAGGATCTGGGGATTACAATGGACCACAAACTAAATAGGAGTCATCAATGTGATGCAGCTGCAAAAAAGGCTAATATGATTCTGGGGTGTTTTAATAGGAGTGTCGTATGTAAGACACAGGATGGCATTGTTCAGCTCTAATTAGCACTGGTGAGGCCCCAGCTGGAGTACTGTGTCCAGTTCTGGGCACTACAATTTGGGAAGGATGTGGACAAACTGGAAAGAGTCCAGAGGAGAGCAACCAAAATGATCGAAGGTTTAGAAAACCTGATCAGTGAGGAAAGGTTGAAAAACGTGGGCATGTTTAGGCTTGAGAAAAGAAGACCGAGGGGCGAGCTGATAACAGTCTACCAATATCTTAAGAGCTATTACAAAGAGGACCGTGATCAATTGCTCTCCATGTCCACTGAAGGTAGGACAAGAAGTAACAGGCTTAATCTGTGGCAAGGGACACTTAGAAAGTTTTTCCTAGTATTTAACCTACCTCTAAGGGTAGTTAAGCTCTGGAACAGGCTTCCAAGAGAGGTTGTGGAATCCCCGTCATTGGAAGGTTTTACAAATAGGCTGAACAAACACCTGTCAGGGAGGATCTAGGTTTACTTGGTTCTGCCACAGTGCAGAGGGCTGGACTTGATGACTTCTCAAGGTCCCTTCCAGCCCTACATTTCTAGGATTCTATCATGCAGTTTGCAGCAGAGACGAGGCCATAGTAGCAAAAACAACCCAACTGGTCTCAACTGTCCTGGTGGAACCTGAGTCAAAAGATGATCCTCAGTTCTTGATCACAAGAGTCATGGGAAAGGGGAACGAGATGGTCTTCCAGGCTCCAATCAAACCGCAAAGCAAAAAGGGGTGCATTTTAATGCATCACATTTCCATGCTCAGGAAACCTGTCTCTTAAAATGCACCCCTTTTTCCTTTGGGGTTTGATTTGAGCCTGAGACACCAGGGAACTTAACGAAATGATCCTTTAGCCCAGTTTGTGAAAGATCAGCCAGTGACTGTGCCCACGAGGGATGTGTAAAGCCCCTCCCCCATGCTTTTGTTGCCATCCACTTCCCTAATACACAATTAAATTATCTTAATAACAGTTTTGTTGCAAAACATGGTGAAGAATTTCCGTGCTAAGGCAAGACCTCAGCCACTTCCTCATGCAGCTTCAGTGTCGATAGGAGAGAGCTCAGAGACACGACACTTCCTAAAAATCCATTTAACGTTCCATACAATATTCCAGCAATGCCCCTTCTGTGGGCTTGAAGACAGGCATGGAGCTGAGATTCCTGCTTCTGTTGCTCTGCATCTCAGGTAAGAGGAAGAGTGATGTGATACTTGGGGGGTTACATGGACATTCCATGTCAGGGGCAGGTGGGATCTGGGGCTCTATTTTCTTTGCTTGGTTTGTCAAATATGCTGTGAACTGTGCAAGAAACAGCACAATAAGGAGCGTGAGGATCCCTGCCAGACCAATACCTCAAGTGAAGTAAATCAACACCAGAGCTCTACTGAAGTCAATGTAGCTACACCAAATTACACCAGATACTGGAAACTCTAGGTTCAAAGGGTAAACATTCTTGAGCACCCACAAATGTATCTCTGCAAAAATACGGGTGGAGATCTCAATTTTGTTATTAATTTGCAATTTTCAGAAAGACATTCTGGGCTAGATAATCAGATGGCATCATCTGCCATCAAGAACTGGCATCATTTAAAGTCAATGGATTGATGCCGATTTACAGCAGCTGAATACCTGGCCCATGTGCGTCCAGTTTCCATTAGAAGCCAATTATTGATGTGATAGATCAAGGTCTCTAATTATTTATTTTAGAGTCACTCAAATGTCTCCTTGGATTAAATTCTGATAAAATGCTTTTGTGGGCCTGTGATGACTTATTTGCATAGACTGTAGGGTGCACACGGCACTTTCCCATTAGTTAGGCACAAGAGGAGCCTTATAAAGCTCTGAAGGAAATTCCCCCTATCAAAACAAATGTACAGGAAGTAGGAATTCCTTTGGGAGGCATCAGGGAAGCCCAAATTTGCAATACAAAACTGGCTTAATTCCAGTGGCAGCAGTTCTACAGTATTTCTAAGCACCCCTCAGGCTGAGCTCTATAGAAAATGGTGTTATTGTGTAAGTGTGACTGCATCTCTCTCCTCGACCCTCTCCACCTTTCTCGTATCACTTGTCCTCTTAAGTCCCTGCTAAGCTCACTGCAGGATAAGACTATAAACTGTTCCTATGTGTTTGTACAGCCCCTAACACAATCAAGCCTTGATCTTGTGAATCTCTGGACACATGCATAATATAAATATGAAATAACAGCTACAAGAGTTCTCCCCAAGTGCAGGTCTAGTTTTAACCATTAGTCAGGCACTTCCTTTTCTTTTGGTTACTAGTTTCCTGCTCAATACAGAATTCCCCCTTCTCTCTCATTAAAACAAACTTTCTCTCACACACATGTCCAGAAAATGGCACAGCGGCCATAGGAACTCAGCCGTAACCATTAGGGAACCAATTCTGATCTCCCATCTGCATAATTATTTTGACATCAAGGGATTTACTTCAGATTTATGCTGGAGAGAGAGGGAACAGAAATACAAAGTGTACAGTGCTCTGTAGCACAAAAAAAAATCTACATTCATAAGTTACACTTTCATGATAAAGCGATTGCACTACTGTACCTGTATGAGGTGAACTGAAAAATACAATTTCTTTTGTTTATCATTTTTACAGTGCAAATATTTCTAATAAAAACAATAATATAAAGTGAGCACTGTATACTTTGTATTCTGTGTTGTAATTGAAATCAATATATTTTAAAATGTAGAAAAACATCCAAAAAGATTTTTAAAATTTCAGTTGGTATTCTATTGTTTAACGGTGTGATTAAAATTGCGATTAATCACAATTAATTTTTTTGAGTTAATCGCATGAGTTAACTGCGATTAATCAACAGCCCTAATTATATGCTCTTTGGGGCAGGGACTGTCTCTTTGTGACAGGGTGGAATGACCAAGAAATAGCTAAGGGCGGTTCCCGGGGGGCCAGACACCTCCTGAGCACCCCCTCATGGCCAAAGATTGCTGTGCAGGAGCCTGCCTCAGTTTCCCCTTTCAAGGGACTTATTAAATAAACTCCACACCAGCTTTAATGAATCCAATGAGAACAGCCCTACTTAGAGTCTGGTTTATTATCAGAAAGTTCAAATATTAACACAAAAAGCCCTTCCCCCAGCGGTAAGCTAGACACAGCCCCAAACTCTGCTAATATCTCAGGCTCTTCCCAATCCTACCTAGCTGGAGTTACTCACTTGGTGTCAGGGGCTTCCCTGCAGAAGTCTTTCTCACTCCCTGCCATCTCTCTACAACTTCCTGATCATCCCCTCTCTGCAGTGTCCTGCTGCTCTTTACAGGAGAATCAGCCCCTCTGCACCCAGCTGGTTCTGCTACTTAAACCCCATATTCCCCCCTATCCCACCCCAGGTGTGGCAGGCTGGTCAACTCCAGGCCTCTGGCCCTTAAAGGATCAGACCACCCCATTACAGGCTGCTTGTCATGTGATTCAGCATTTTTAAAGTGGGGAATGTCCTTTTACAAGGACAGAGATGAAGTTCTCTGGGTCTTGCAGCCTGTTTGCCAGAGGGGGATAGTTTTTGTTTTGTGTTATCTTGTGAGGCTTTTTAATAAACTATCTCCTAAGGAAAGGGTCTGAAAAGAGACTTGAGTGTGGCACCCAATTCTTCCTGGGCAGCTGCAGAGTGCCTAGTACAGTTCGGCCCCATTCTTGCATGGCCTCTGCATTACTGCAATAAATAGGATTGATAAGGATACACATAATAAAGGGATGAGCAGAAACTTTCTGGGTAGTTTCATTGTTCTTCAGTTGTGGAGCAGTCAGCTTCACCCAGCTAGAAATTATTTGAAATTAAAATATCGGTTTACCCCATAAAACATGGGAACAATGTGACACTGGAAAGGTCAGATCCCAGATGGGAGAGCAAAGTTCCTAAAGTCACAGAAATGAGAGATTGAACATTCAAACCATCTCCGTGTTAGTGCAGAGAACTACCCAGCTCCTTCGCTGAGGAGAGATTTTAAGGAAACAGACCTAATTCTGCTTTCACTTACACCAGCATAAATCAAGTGTGAGATCTGAACATTTAATGTGACTTAACACTATTATGATGTCTGATATTGCAATGGGTTGAGATTTGGGCTGGTTTACTGCCAGCTACCTACATGTAAATAGGCAGAGATTGCACAGGGACTTTAACCACCAGAGATTGAAATGCTGCAAATAAACAAAAAACACGGGAATACACACTGAAAAAACGTACTGTGTGCAGGCGACACATGCAGAAGATGCTCCAAGATATGTTGCTATCTTTGAAGGTGCTCCAGGCAGGTGTTAGGGGAATGATTTGTAATTGCTGCTTGTATTGATTCATCTCCATTCTTCCCAGCCTCTAGTTCTTGGGCTGTTTAGTCCAAGCACTGGAGTGCAGGACATAGAGGGGGCAGCAGGCAGCCCTGCTCCATCCCAGCTCTTACTGAGCAGGTCTGGTGTTTTCCAGGATTCCAAGCACAAGAGTCTGACGCAGTGGAGAGCAGAGCGGAGGGGCAGCGTCTCGTTGTTGAGTGTCGCTACAGATCCGCGGATTACAGTGCAACACGGAAAACCTGGTGCCAGCCGAGGGATAAGAAATGCTCTCCATTAGTTATCACTTCTTACACATCATATGGATACCACAGCAAGGTTACCTCTGGAAGAACTACGATAGAGGATGACACCCGCAAGGGGATTGTAACCATCATTATGGAGAAGCTGCAGGTGCAGGACTCCGGCCTCTATTGGTGTGCGCTCTATGACCCGCCCAATACACTGTATCCATTAACGACAATTCAATTGGATGTTTTCAAGGGTGAGTTAATTTCCTTTCAGGAGAACTGTCTTTTCCGATTAATATAATCCCAATTCCTTCCCCCACTTTATCATCTCTCTCCTGCCTGTATCGATTCCTCCTGCCGGCCCCCAGACTCTGTCACCCTCCACAAACTCTTGTCTCCTCTCTCCTGTCTCACACTGGGAACTGCTCTCAATCACCAGCTAACCTCAGCAATTCAGCCAACAGACCATTCCTGCTTCCTGTTAGAATAATCTTTTTTTGTTTTCCCCTCTAATGGCTTCCTCAGGGGGGATGTTAATTTATATTGTTATGTTTATTTATGCAAGAAGCAGATTCTGAGGGGGACATTTAAAAGTGCGCAGTCCCAACAATCAGGGCCAGATTTCCAAGAGCTCAGGACCCACAGTGCACCACACACACTGAGCTCTTTGGAGAACCTGGCCTGGAAAGGATCCATAGTTTCCCTCGCTCTGCGAGACTTTTGGATGATCAGGTGCAAAGGGAACAGCCCAAACAGTTGATTTTTGCAGCAAACAAGACCAAATACACCAGTTCACATTCACCCCTCCTGTAACTCAGCTGAAGCCAGTGAATGGAGCTACACCAGGGAAGAATTTGGCCCCTGGTGCATATGTCACTCATGGGAAATGTACGTCATTGTACCTCTCAACCAGATCGTACTGACCAGTTTTTGTGTTTTCCAGAAGTCAATGCTATGGAGGGGCAGAATCTCTCTGTCCAGTGTCCATACAACACACAGCATTATAAAGAGGAAAATAAAGCCTGGTGCCGAAGGAGAGTTCAGAATAAATGCTTTGTCTTGGTCAACACTCATCACATCACATATCAAAACAGCGCTCAGAAAGGCAGAGTCAGGATACATGACGACACCCAAAAAGGGATTGTTACTATCACCATGGAGAAACTGAAGGTAGACGATGCAGGGGTGTACTGGTGTGCGCTCTACAAGCCTCCCAATCTTTACAGAATAATTGATGTTAAACTGGCTGTTACCAAGAGTGAGTATTTATTGGTAGGGGAAATGTGGGGTTTGGGATTTTTGTGTTGCAGATTTCAGCCTCCCACCTTCCCCACTCTCTCCTTCCTCTCTCTGACACTGAATCTGTATCACCTCCTCCCAGATTATTCCAGAATTCCCGCCACTCCCCAAAGAACCTTGTCCCTTAATTCATCATTCACACTAAGAACTGATGTAGAACATCAGCTGAGATAAGGACTTTGGCCATGTGGATATTTCTGTTTTTAATGACCTATTTAAATATTTGGTGTTTGTCTCCCCTTTACTTGAGAGCTGGTTCAATCATTTCAATATATGTACTTCTATAACCCACAGACTCATAGTATTTAAGCACCTGCATAGCAGCTGCGCATTGGTTTCCAGAGCAGCTAGCGGAGATACTACTCAATTCTAATTTTGCATTTTGATTGGGAAAAAAAGTATTTTGTAAATTATGACTCACATTTTAACCAGCTCCAGTTTCTAGTTATGCCCTCAGATTGACTTATTTTTTTTAATCAATGAAATTTAAACTATCTGTAAGAGCCCAGCGACTTTCTCTAGCCTGGTTTTGAAGATGGCACTAGAGCAATACAGATGGGTGGGGATAGTCCTGTCCAAGTGAAGCTGTCAGACATTAAGGCCATATCAGAATTAGAGCTGTGCAAAAAAATTGAATTTTTGATTAGCTAGAAGTTTCAAAGTGTCAAAACCATTTCATTTCCAGCAAAACATTTTGTTTCCAATGTGAGATACTTCTCCTTTTAAATTGTTTTAAAAATAGAATTAAAAGTCATTTTTAAAAAAATTGGTTTAATTTTGAAAAAAGTCAATTCTTTCAGAAATATGTCAATAAAACACTGACTTTTTTTAAATGTTTTTAAGTTGGGTTTGGGTTCTTTTGCCACAGAAACAATTTGACAAAATCCAACATGAATTCATTAACTATTTCAGTTGACTCAAAGCTGCTTTTTTCACCAAAAATTGTTTCAGTCCAAAAATGTCATCCTGCTGTAATCATAATACATGTGATTGAATACACAGTCTGTGAGCCCTGATCCCTCATGGGAGGCCTGCAGTGATGTGCAGTAATGGTCCTAGAAGTTGTTACTGTATCAATTTTTTGCATGTTTCTAAAGCTTTGTTTCTTTGGTTTGTTTCCTCATTACTGCAGGGAGCTGTGGCACAGGTGATGCTAATGGCCTGAGTCTCTCATGCTGGTGGCTTTGTCTAAGATTGTTACATGCTTCGTGATACAGGAGAAGCTTTGCAATACAGAGCAACCTCCCCATCATACCATGTGCTTCTCTCAGTAGCAACAGTGTGAACGCTAGTGTAGACAAGGCTCAAGTGGCCACCCAGCCTTTTAACTGCTGTGTTTTTTAGCTTGTGCCAAGTAGGTCTGCATGACACAGCGCTTACAGCACTGCCAGCTTGTCTCTACTAGCCCTGCACCAGCCGTAGCTAGCACTGGTGGGAAATGTTACGGGATAAAGGCTGGTGTAGACAAGGCCTGAGGTGTCGAAACTGTGTTTATATTTGCAGCTACAACTACAAGTGACGTCCCATTTGCCTCAATCACACGTCACACCAGCCTAATCCTTAGCACAGCTAGTGCTGGGGTCACCCAAACAGATAGCAGGTAAGGCTCCAACCCCTTCCTCTGAGACAGCCTCTGTGTTTGCACACCTCCAAGGGGTTCTTAGCAGCTGATCCCACATGCTCCTCTTTTCAGAGAGAAAGCAGCAGCCTTTCACAATGGCACTGAACATAGCAGGCCTCCTTTAAAAGGTGCCAGATTAGTGCCCTCTTCCCAGCTGCCAACCAGGGTTAAATGGCACATTGATAAAAATGGGCAGATGAAATTCAGGCCCTGTCTCGTTTGAGAATTTACTAGTCTTGTCACTGTATTATCATTAACCCTTGCAGCTGCTGCTCTCTGGAGCAAGAGAAATGACGTTAAATCTGGATGCATTGAATCCAAACAGTTTCCTTCATCAGCCATTGTAAAAGCAGGGCTGCCCCTTCTCATTCCTGACGCCAGCCAGTGGCCACTGTGCTCAGTGGAAGCTGCGGAAGCCCTATTAAATATTTCCCCAGCGGTGTATCACCTCATTCTAGTTACTGGTTTATTCAATTTAGGTTTGTTTTTCTTTTTGAGGTCTGTGATTTGTATTGTGGTGGCACCATGGACCATTGCGCTAGGCACTGTACAAAACACATTCCCTGCCCCACAGAGCTCACAGTTGGGCTTCAGAGAGTGGTTTGTTTTCACAGGGCCACAGAGAGAAGTTCAGGACCTTACTCCCTACGTCAAATGGCACAGACAGGGTTTCGCATTAAAGGAAGTAACATGTGATGAGAAAAAGCCACCTAGGTGTGTGAGCTATCCCAGGCCCTGGTCTGACGGCCGGTTGGGTGTACGCTAAGGGGTTTGGGAAGCATTGCACCTGCACTGTGTAAGTCTGTCTAACACAGACTGCCATTGCTTCCTCAGCCTCTCGACTGAGAGAAACTTCATCATCCTCGGCGTGGTCTTGGGAGTCCTCTTCATCCTGGCGCTTATAGGCTTGGTGATATTGTACACCAGGAAATCCAAGCAGCTGAGGACAAGAGGTAAATGGAGAGCTGATGGGGCCTCACATGGTCTGTCTGGCACTACATTTGGTTCCCTATTTCTCATTTGTTTTAACTTTGAGTGAATTCAGCCCCACTGCCTGATTCCCAATGGGCAGCCCTGGACAAGGGGGAGGGCAGCCTGATTGCCCAAGGGTTCGGAAGGGGTTCTTTCCCCTAAATACACATTGTGCAACTGGACAGGAGCATCATGGATATTTTTAAAAATCTTCTAAAGCATCAGACTGCAATCACTGCCACAGAAAATACCAAATTAAAAATAATTTGCCAGATGAGATCAGACCCACGTCCCTAAAACTTCTCACTGGACATTTCATAAACTCATCCATACTATAATTCCCAGGGCGGAACTGTAAACTGGGCACAACCTGCTCACTGGATTCAATGTAGTTTTGTCCCCACTATTACAATCTTCGCTACCATTACTACTGGCCAGTCCATTCTGTGGCTTTCACCTACGCTGTGATGACATGAGGAATGCTCAGGATTGAGGGGTCTTGTCTTGTCTTTATTAAAAGGTGATGGACAAGCTGAAGCCATCTATGAAGAACCCAAGGATGCCACAGTGGTAAGTGAAGCTACTGGAAACATAAAAGCAGTAGCGTGGCGATTCCCAAACTGTGGTCTGTGGAAAGCTGGCTGGTCATGTGGTGCTTACTTCTCCTTATTTTCAGTTGCTAAATTGCATTCAAAGAAACTTGAAATACTTTCTTCATGTTACTTTTCCACACAGGCAGTCGTCATAGTTGCCATGAGGATTTTATGTGATTGCAAGTGAAGGGGAGGGGTGGTTTGTTTAATTGTGAACAGAAGAAGAAGTGACAATGAGACAACCTCTGTACTAAAATGTGAGCCGCGCTCTGGTAAAGTTTGGGAGCCCCTGCAATACAGTGTTAAATGCAGTACAGAGAGACAGAACAGCCTTTTCACCATACTGGGGCATTTGCTTTAAAGTAGAAAGAGATGGCACTGTAAGATAGAGCAGACAGAGAGGATGTGAGAGTGAAACCGTGCACTACCTTTTACTGAAATAGTCACTTTAAATTTCCACTCTCCCTCCACGCTGACAAGAGAGCCATGTGAGGATGGAAATGCCATTTCGTGAAGGATTTTGAGATTTCAAAGTTTCACAATGGAACCTAAAAGATTTCAAAATTCTCTATGAATGCAAACATTTTAAAAAAAACATTTCTAGTCAACAGAAACATTTCATTCCATTGTCAACTTAAAATGTTATATTAAAAATACAAAATACAAAATTCCAAATGAAAAGTCTTTTCAAAAAGAAGATTTGAAACAGTTTGTTCTTAAAATGTCAAAACTGGGCCATTTTGAGAGTTGGAATTCCCCCCCCCCCCAACAAAAAAAATGTTGGCAAAATAGATATGATTTCACCAAGCTATTCGATTTCACCAGGAACGGCATTTTCCAATGGAAAATGGTTCCATTGAAGTTTTTCCAACCAGCGCTAGCTGACAGTGATACCTGTTTATAATGGGCTTGGAGGCAAAACGTTGGGATGGTGTCTGTACAAAACAGGAACCCAAGCCCCATATTGGTTTGCAGTGGTGTGGACTGGAATAGATCATGCTGGTTTGGAATAGATTGGATCAAACTAGGCAAGAGTGGAATGGAATGAACTGAATAGAACAGACTGGAATGGATTGGGTTGGATCAGTAATTATTTGTATTGTGCTTTGTGTGACATGCTTTGCAGACAAAGGTGCACAAGATGTCCCTGCTCTGAAGAGTGTGCAGAGAAAGTAGATTGAAAATTGGGTTGGCCTAGAATGAATTGGGATTGATTGTAAATGCAGCAGAATGAAAGGCTGGATTGGATTTGACTAGAAAGAACACATAGGAATAGGCTGAAATGGATCAGGCTTGAATAGAATGAGCTGGACAGCTAAACAGAGACAAGAAGCTACAAAACTCAAGTGTCCTATGATCCATTTGAGTCCTGCTGACTTGCCAGCAATTGGCTATGGCCCCTGAACTCTTTGCATTCTTTTCACCTTAAAAACCCCAAGGTTAACTTTCTCCGGGGGCTTTAAAACACTGGATGAGTGAGGGAACAGCAATAGGAAACGCTGCTGGAAATACAGTGAAGCTGAGAGATTCTAGGAGCATTTGGGAGGCAACAGGATTAGAAGCCAGTGTTGAAAGGATGGGGTCATAGTAGGTATCTGGGAAGGAGATGGGTGAATACGGCTCACTCTCTTTCCAGCGTCTCCACAACAAAGAGTAACGTGTTGTGTTGGTCTTTTTCTCCCTACTTGAGTAAATCTTGTGCTTTTGGAATCAGCTCTGCTCTCGCTGAGAAGTGTTATTCTTTTCTGTGCACAGTCTCAGGGCTTCGGCAACATGAACGATCCCAAGGACGACAAACAGGAGATGCCACAAGACCTAAAATATGCCACCTTGGCCTTTAAATCCAGACCCAGTCCCAGGGAATCTGTCTACGCCAACATCACGCCAAGTCGAGCTCTGGAGACACCCCACACCAGGTCCTCCACTGAGCCTGTGGAATACGCCAGCATTTCACTTAAGCCATTAGCATCAGGCGCCAAATCATGATCTCGAGAACCCTGAATAGCCCAGCAGTGGAACAGAAGAGACTGAGCTGGAACACTGCTGGGGTGGGGGAGCGTGTGTGCATGCTAGAGAAGAAGTCTTTGCTATGTTCATATTTAATATGTATATTTAAAGTCCTGCCTCAGGTCAGAGGCTTGCAGAGAAATTTATCACAGGCAATTGGGCAAAATGCATCTGCTTTTGAAGAAACAGCACAGGAAGATCAAGAGAACGAAGGAGAATCCTCAGAGCTCAAGCTGGAGGAATATGGACGGGCATTGTCATCTCAAACCCACTCAAACATTGTTTGTGTAAGATTCTGACTCAGATGTTACAGGGTTCCGCTTCCCCTTGGGAGAGTGACAGAGACTGAGCAGAGGGGGAAGGGGAATAAATATACTGATGATGTGTGAACTGCATCACGTTTTGCTGAATGTACCTCAATACATAGCTTGAGAGTGTTTGCAAGGGAGCAACGTGTAAGTATTAATCACCATCATCACGGTCTCTAACCTAGAATGACTATACTGTACGAACCAAGGCCCCAGAACAGCCTTTCAGCTGCAAAAATGATATTTAGCATGCATAGACACATAGGGTGACCAGATGTCCTGATTTGATAGGGACAGTCCCAATATTCAAAGCTTCGTCTTATATAGGCACCTATTACCCCGCACCCCCGTCCCGATTTTTCACACTTGCTGTCTAGTCACCTTATAGACACATGTTAGTGCAGAATAGGTCATGCAAATGCCCAAGCAGCTCAAGTGCAGCGACCTGCGTGGGTGTGAGGGAGACAGGGACAACAGGATTTTGGAATAAATTAAATGTTGGTTGTCTTGGTGAGGCATCAGATCAGGAGCGTCTATTTAGAATGAAAAAATAGAGTGTATGGGCATGTGGATGGGGTCTCAGGGCTGCATGTGTGTTGGGGGCATGTGTCTCTTCCTTTAGGGAAGGGGGCACAGGTTAAACAGGGCTGCCAGGACTAATGACAGTGGCGAGTCTCAAAAGCTGGATCCTATGGTGTTCCCAGCTCTAGTGCTGAACTTGTGCTCAGTGTTTGTCCACAGGCTCAGGACATACGTGCAGTCTCTATGGCCAGTTCACTGAAAACAGGTAGTCACCTGCCGCATTCAAAGCATTTATCGACACCGCTTCCACACTGCTGTGTTGGCACAGGCCTCTGACTCGCCCTCCCACCCCTGAATGCCCTGAAGGAGTGGCCAGTCATTCTCCGGCTGGGAAAACCCTTGGGTTACTCAGCATCTCTGATTGCATTGCTGACCTACCCAGGCTGGCTACTCAAACCAAGGCAACAGGGAATAGCGACAGCACGGGGAAACCAAGAAAGGAGTGTTCGAGTGAAGAAAAGAGATGGGACTGCACACATTCACCCAGAAGGAAGGAAGGGCGGGGGAGAATAGGGGAGCTTTCCGAACAGAAGGGTCCCCTCATTGCTCTAGCTGAGAGGATAGGCAGCTGAGCAGGTAAGAGGAAGTGCTAGATGAAGCAGCTAAATTGCAAGGAATATGACGGAGAAAATAGAGGAAGAAGAAGGATGAGCACAGAGGGCAGATTTCGACACAGGCCCAAAATTAGAGAGGAAGTGGCAACAATCACTAAGGCTAAATAGTTAAGGACTCGGGTGCGCTGGGTGACTCAGAGGGACATGCTGAGGCTCGGGGAATTTTAATTTATAGATCAGTGGTGCGAATCTGGACCGGATGGGTAATGTCCAAGAGCAGATAGCTGGTCAGTGAGTGATGTGAAATGAGTTTGCTGGGTTTTAGCCCAGTTCCCAGTGGACAGAAGTGTCCGGTTTCCAAAAAGTGCTGGCACCATATCTGGTTGTTCAAGACAGGTGGCAGATGAATGGGCCTCAACTACCCCTCACTCCAAAAGTAGGTCCCTGCTCTCTTGGGGTTGCCGAGGGGAAGCCTACACTACCAATCTTCTGAGAATACATAACTGACTTTGGTTTTCTGGCTAACAATCAGGCACCTTTCGCCAGCAATAAAGTAAATGAAAAAGAAAGCAGAGCCTGAGACCCATGGCCTGATTTTCTACCACTATGCTCCTTGTTCAGCCATTTTCACTGGTACAATGCAGGTGGAAAATACTACTCAATCAAATAGCAACACAAGGTGGGATCCCTTTGGATGCACAAGGAAGGGTCAGAAATATAACGGAGACAGGAAGCTCTGCAGGGCCTAGGGATGGGCAGGATCTTCAATTATCAGGAATGAAGGGAGTAAACTGATAGCGGGAATTTGCTGTAAACAGAGCAAGTCAAACATTTTTTATGGTGGAAAATAGCCTTTATTGGTCAACAACAGGCATATTTGCGAAAAAGCGTCCAGTTTTGTTGAAGATGTTCATGTTTTCATTGAAAAACTGGGGGAGTGGAGGGGGGAACAATCAAAGAAAATGTTCAACGATTTTGGTGGTTGTTTTAGCAGGGAAATTTTATATAGATATATATAAATTTCCTGACCCATTACAGTTGTAAATCACATTGTGCCCAGGAGGAACAAGTTGCAGGGAATTACAAAAGAAAGTACAAAAATATTTGCTAAAAAAACCTAAACTAGACAATAATGGAAGACTTTGAACTAGAACTGACTATGGGGTGTACTTGCAGGGAAGTAGATGTTTCTGACCAACATGAGGCTAAACTCCTACCTGTTGCACTGAAAATGGACCTCTACATAGAAAGAAAGAATCCTATAACATACTTATGGTCATGGTGGAAGGCTGTTTCTTTATATCCTATCTAGAAGAGAGAGGGAGAAAGAGAAAGGCTTGTGCATAGAGGATATATCTGCAGTCCGACCTCCTCTGGGTGTGATGCTGTCAGCTCCTGTGACGCACCCCATAATGCTTTCCGAAATATCCTTATGAGTGTAAATATGACATAACTGGAATATGTTTTATGCTAGATATGCCATGTCATATATCTTTGCAAAGGTTATGATCTATGGAATATATTCATCCTATTTGTATGCATGTATCATTTTTATATATGAAGTTATGAGCATTGGCTCTATGCTTGTATTTAAAGTGTTTGCTGTAGGAAGCACATAAGGCAGATTTGGTCAACATAGTGTGAAGGGGTTATTCAAGTAATTGGGAGTACTTAACTAGCAATGGACTTTGGGAGACACCAATCCACATCTGAGTTTTCCTGGGAACGTTGAAACTAACATGTAAACAATGGCGTCGGCCTACAAAAAGCGGAATCATTCATAGATGTGTGACTTGCCCAGGTGACTACAGACTCCATCTTGTTGCGGTGATTTTGCACAGGAGAACAAAGGGGTTTCCACCCACAAGAGAAGGAATATAAAAGGCCTTGGAAACCCCTCCATTCTGTCTTCAGCTGGCTCAGAAGATAGCCTCTCCACCCTGAGATGCCTGAAAGAAACTGGAACAAAGGACAGTAACTACGGGGGGGGGAGTGATTGCTGGACCCAGACTAGGAAGGAGTCTAGTATGTGAAAGAAGCTTATTGGAACATCTCTGAGGGTGAAATTTACATGCATTTAGTTTCCTACTGTATTAGGCCTAGAGTGGCGTGTTTTTGTTTTATTTTGTTTGGTAATTCACTTTGTTCTGTCTGTTATTACTTGGAACCACTTAAATCCTACTTTTTATATTTAATAAAATCTATTTTTGCTTATTAATTAACCCAGAGCAAGTATTAATATCCGGGGGAGCAAACAGCTGTGCATATCTCTCTATCAGTGTTATAAAGGGCGGATAATTTATGAGTTTACCCTGTATATGCTTTATACAGAGTAAAACGGATGTATTTGGGGTTTGGATCCTATTGGGAACTGGGTATCTAGGTGCTAGAGACAGGAGCACTTCTTAAGCAGTTTTCAGTTAAGTCTGCAGCTTGTGGGGGACGTGGTTCAGACCTGGGTCTGTGTTTGTAGCAGGCTAGCGTGTCGGGCTCAACAAGACAGGGTAATGAAGTCCCAAGCTGGCAAGGAAAATGGGCTCAGAAGAAGTCTCAGCACAACAGGTGACAGTCCCAAGGGGGTTTCTGTGACCCAGCCCATCACAACTCCTATAAACTAAATAGCCTGGGGCTGAATCAGTACTTGGAGGAAAACCTCCAGCTAAAAGCAATAGAGGAGCTCAGATACCATGGTGATGGGTATCATGTGAATACCTAGCTCTTTAGATTAGTTAATTCCATAGGTGGCTCTCTTTCAAGTCAGTACTGAACCAATGCCCCAGCATGGTAGCGATGGGCCCTGTACCTGTTGGAGGTGCTGTCTTTCAGATGAAACAAAAAACTAAGCTCCTGGTCCCCTGACTTCATTAAAAATCCCACAGCACTTTTTGCAAGAGTACAGAGTAAAGATGTTAGCCCTTGTGTCCTGGGCAAATTACATTGTGCTGGTCTGAAACACCCAGCAGTTTAAACTGATACAATATTCTTCACTTCCTGTCCTAAACAGTCATGTCGAGTTGCTGGACTCCTTGTGTGATAAGCTTTTCTGTAGTTCCTTTTCAGTTGTGCCACTAAAGGACGAGCAAAGAGTCTGAATACAACCTTAGGGTTCTCCATGGAGATCTCCAAGGCTGTATCCCAGCCCCTCTTTTCCACCTTTCGAGGTATCTGGGTGATCTGCCTGGCAGAGCCCACCCTGAGATAGTCAAGACACGATCTCCGTCCATACACGGAAAGTTCACATCATGCAAAAGCTTGTCTAGAAAGCCTATTGAGAATGAAAAAGCACCATCCCTCGGTGTCAAAACCGCCTCTCCATCGCATGGTTTCCTCATCACATGACAACTCTTCTCAGGCTGTCTAGACCAAAGCCTGGTTCACAGTGGGCATTGCTGCTGCCCCAGTTTTCAGCCAGTCAGAGAAGCATCCGTCCCTGGTACATTGCTCAATCCCCAGGAGGGAAGAGAAGCCAAGTTCCTGTTCTCATTCCTTCCTGCAGAATAAGGAGAAAAAAGCTGCTCTTGGGCAAGAATCCTTTTAATTTTTGTTCAGACTCCCCCCTGCGCTGCTGGATAGCGCGAGGAAGAGACATGGGAAAGCTGATGCATCTGGTCTTGTTGGTCTCCTTATCAGGTAAGAAAGCATCCAACTCCTTTTGTGTCGGGTTGAGGGGTAGGCGAAGGTTTGGAGCAATAACTGGCATTGTCCAACATCTAGCATGAGTCATAGCAGGGACCATGAGGCAAACACTGCCCAGGACGCAAGGCTCAGCTGTTTGTTCTGGAGCCAGAGAAGATGATTCCATTGTAAACATTCTTAAATGGACCCACCCCCACAATTATCAGTGGGAGTGCCAATAAAAGTCAAAGCAGGTAGCTATCTTTTAAGGGCAAGATTAACTGCAACAGGAGTTGAGGGAGCTCAAAACTTTGCAGGCGGTGTTCTG